GTCAGGTTATAAGTCCAGTTATAAGTAGTTACTAAGTCCCATGAACCTCCAAGTATGGGGTATACGCAAAGGCTCTTGGACTCCAATAGTGAGATCCCGATCTGACTCCCTCAAAACGCAGAAGGGCCAACTATGGTCCTAGGACATTTAGGTATACCGTGCAACAAACGTAGATTGTAGGTTCACTTACTCCAGTTTTTGGCAAGCAAGGCCCGGTAGTGAAAGATGAGGATGCTGATAAACCGTCTTCTCTTCTCCAGAAAACGCTGAGCTCCTCACTTAAAGAATTCCTCATTAACATGTATCAACTCAGGTTTCAAAATCTGAGGCTAGGTATCCGAACTGATCTAAGGTATGATTGCTTCACATGCTGGAAGGGATTGGACCAAGCCTCTACAACTCTGGGTGCCGCCTTCTCCGGCCCGGAATGAAATGATTCCAGGTGTATGGGGGCTATCCCCCATGTACCCAATAGTTGGGTACCTGGGATTTGGGTAATAGTAATTATAGTACAGGTTTTGGGTAAGTATATGATTATTGGATACTTGGACCCTTAGGGTATGGCAAGTCGTGCCAACATCAACAACATCGAGGTGCCCCAGCGACCCAACAGACAGGTCTCCATCATAGAACTACTTCGGGACGCAAGTGTACACTATACAGCTACGCGTTGGAAAAGCCAAAAATCCTGAGAACTACTCTACGCCTCGCTAAGAGCCCTGCTAGAAAGTGAATGTCAGGTTGTTTATTGGGATCGTATGTAGCCAAAGTGGTCGCAGACCCTGAACCCCAAACCCTAAACCACGTAAAGAGCCCGTTTCACTTGCAAAGATTCCGCCTGGTCTACGGCATCCGTGTCTTCATAGGCAGCCTCTGTCATGGCAAACGAGGCTCAGGGTTTGGGGGTTGAAGGGTCTATTAGGGTTTTAGGGTTTAGGGTGAAGGGTGTGTAGGGTTTAGGGCTTAGGGCGTTTTTAGGGTTGAAAGCTTAGGACCTAGGATTTTTAAGATTTAGGGTTTGGGATTTGTAGGGCTTAGAGTTTAGGGTTCCGGTTGTTCTAAAGTTAGGGTTTGTAGGGTGCAGGGTTGAAGACATCCTACCACGACAGAGTGGCTATTACCGTAGCTTTAACATTTGCCGGCTTCTCGTAAGCTGAGCACCATGACGCTATAAGACATTGCGGCTCATAAGAGAACACCAAGAGGTCTGGTTGACAAAATGCAGTTGGGTGTAAAGTGCCCTCCAAGAAAATGCCGTATACCTACATGGACCCTTTGGATTCTTGGCGACTTTAAAGGGATGGCCGCCAGATGACCCACAAAATGCTGGGATGGCTCTCTGCATGAAGGATTCCCTGACTTGTGCCACACAATTGGTATTCAAAAACCTTGCACCATGTTGAGATGTTTGTGCCTCTTTGTCCTACGGTAATCCCCTGAACTCCAACCTTTGGGCTCCTTTAAATCAAGCTCACCCTCCGCTGGCCTGAGCTTCGAGCGTATCTTCCTCTTCCGGCATCTCCTGAAGTGCAGCACGTGAGGAGTAACGCAATCGGGACTGGAAGGCCTCCACGCATCTATCTGCACCCTGGGCTCACTTACTTCCCGTGACACCAGCACTTAATCCCAAACATAAGCATCGGACACCTGAACCCTTAAACTCCTGCCATTTTGAACGATGGACCCGAATCCCTCGACAGTCTACAGCCCAATGATTCTGAACCCTGAGCCCTACACCTGAACCGCCAACCCCTCATCCACACATACCCCAGTCCTTGTAAAATATGAACGCACACCTCCCCACCCCGCGCCACAGAATTGGAAGACAGCTAAAGCAATGCAAAATACTTACAACAAATTGCAAAATTATAGGAATCATCCAAACAAACAAGAATAACTTTCTGGGGGCTAGTAGGGAATTAGGGAACATACTATACAGGGATCATCTTCCCCCATTCCCTACTAACCCTAAACCCTATACAACATATTCCCTGATTTCCTACTAACCCCCAGTAAGCAAACAGTGTAACCGGAGAGCCGTTGGACCTGCCTTCGCCCTTTTGAAAGCCTCCTCATGGCCTTTCGGGTCGTCCCCCACTTCCTTGCAGTTGATTTAGTTTACTGGGTTTAGTTGGGAATAAAGAAATACATGAATAGGGTTTAGGTTTAGTGGAGGAAGAAGGGAATATATCATATAGGGGCTATACAGGAATTATAGCCCCCTATTCCCTGCTAAAAACCAGTAAGTTAAGGTGTAAGGGTTGGCTTATGGACGTGGCAGACTGCTTCAATCACCGTTGCAGGTAGAGGGGCCTATTGGAGGAACCCAGAAAATGCAGGGGCCCCAGACATCTCATGCGGTTTAGGGTTTAGGGGAATCTCCCATACGCATCTCAATTGTGTGCGTGTGCTCCGTGTGGGTTAGGGTTTACTTTAGGTGGGGGCTTAAATACTTGAGGTAATAACTGCTGTACCCTATACCAAAATTACCCGGGAGATCTACAGTCTAGGTCGAACCTAAATATTTGTAAGCAGTAGGCCCGGATAGCACACAAATATGGTAGTTTCCCTAAATAATTCATGGGACCCCAATATAGACACCAACATACTGTGATCCTTATTATGGGGACCCCCCAAAATTACCACTAATTGTAGGAAACCCTGATATGAATTCTATCAGGCTGACTGGGGAGATGCTTTTCTTTGCAGCTTCACTGCACCAAGTGGAACTCTACTCATGCGGTTTAGGCTCTAGCGTGTAACTGTGGTAGACAAGTGATTCATAAACCCCTTCCTTCTTAGGGGCCTTAATATTAAGATCCCGGTTATAATCCCTATTAAGGGCAGGGTGTTTATAAATCAGGGGTCTGCAATAAAGAAGACAGGTCATGTCTGCCTATTTGAGTTGATCTGTTCAATGGGCCTCTGCTTTTGGTGGGGGGGGCAATTGCGAACCAATGTTTTGGGTACGACGCTGTTTAACTCCTCATACCTTCAGCACAAGACAAGAACTTCTCGAAGACCCTGGAACCCGAGCGTTACACTTTAGTTTTGTGGTTGGGCCCCAATACTTTTTTTGCCCCAAATCCAACGCACTAAGCCGAAACCCTGCACTAAACCCATGCCAGAGAGCGCCCGCTGCCACGTCCACACCAACCACGGCACAGGGATAGGCAGTGCTGTACTTGGCCGCCATCCTGTGACATGACTGCTTCGGTATACTGGAGCATGCGGAAAAGTTGTTCACAGGCTTGGCTGGCGGGGATGTTGAACTGAACGCTAGGCCGCCAGGCGCCTCATGGTAAGGTATTTGCGGTTGTTGTTCATAGCCGTCATAGCCCCTGTAGGGCAGGCTCACGAAAGTGTATACTCTTGAGGCGCTTGCACGCCTGGTGATCAGCGAGCTCTTTTCTGCATATTACGGCTGGCGCTCTTGTCTCTAGCTTGCCTGAGCCTAACAGAGCAAACCCATCACCCTTGTGACATTATCCCCTTGTATCCCCAAATGGAAAACCCTATGAAAGCATCCATGTTTGTTTCCAGTCTGGCATCGAAAGATACCTTCTGAAAATTAACCCGATGGCCTCCTAAGTAGTGACCCCAGAATCCCCTAGAGTCCTATCAAGAAATCCGACCTTGATATGGTAGCCGCAAAACCCTGAGCCTCAAGCCGTAAACCCTAAGCCCTCACCTCTGCGTCCTTAAATCCCATCCCACGAAGGCGATCCCGGATTTTGAGACACCTCCAATTTTACTGGTCACTGTTCATTAAGTTACCATTGCCGCGAACCCTCTTATATGTATATATATATATGAACTCTGCGTCCATACTACGGTACTTTTATCCAAGTTCCTTACATCCCCATACAACCTCCACTTCGACATGGTTTCCATTGAATTGTCCATATTCTTTTCAACGTGGTTCTCCATTATGGTAGCTGAACCTCAAACCCTTGAGCCTGAACTCAACTTAATTTAAGCTCCTTAACAGCAACCCATTATACAGCTTACCCTAAACCCTAAACCCTTTTCCCCAAACCCTGATTTCTTGAGCTGAGGCGGCTCCACGCACTGCATAGACCAGGCCGGTTGGAAGAAGATGCAGCAGATGATCTGGTTTACGACCTGGGGTTTAGGTTTTTGTGCAGCACTCTTTTCACCTCGCGGTTTAGGGTTTAGGATTCAGAGTTTAGGGTCTA